CCTTAAGCACAGGTAAGGTCGGCTACCCCTCCTTCTCTGCACCCAAGCCCTCAGTGGTGAATGAAATCGATCGCTTCCCCTACGTACATTTACTACCTTCTTTGTAAAAGTAGGAAAAGAGGCGAACCGGTCAACCCGACTGGTTAGAGGGAAATGTAGGGAGAGCTAGCTTTTCCATATCACTGTCTTTATCGTAATCACAAAGTTTTACGGACGAACAGACGCACAAACCAGCAAACACAAACTCGTAAATCGACAAACTTACAAGCCGTCACACAATTTACTGCTTTATTAATAAGAAAGATATGTTTATTTATTTCTCAACGGCTTGTTCAAAAATACATACAGATACCCCTGAGCGGGAAAGCTGTTCAAACTGAATCACTGCATTGCAATGCAATCTCTTGAATACTTTGTGATGCACCGCGCCCTACCTGCTCTGCGAATTGCGCTTTAGACGACGATAGAGCACCCATAAAAGGGGTGAGATATGCCTACTCATCACAATATCACCCACTGATTGTGAATTTGCTAAACGATTAATATTTGTTAGCAGTTATTTCTTTTCCTTTTCTGATGGACTTCCCTTTCTCCTTCACACTTCCCTCACTCAAGAGTTCTGGGGCGGGAACGATGCGATGAAGATATCGCTTATACGCACGCTTCCGACACACCTAGTGTGATTTTCAGACCCGTGTTGGATAGTGTCGACAATTTTGCTTGCTCATATCTTCCCTTTTAGCGGTTCACTACGTTTTCCATTAGTTTTGAATGACTAGCTCCGAATCAATCATTGAAATTGATGATTTGCATTTCGGCAGGTGCCATATGTATGATGTAGAGACAATGGTTTAGGTTTTAGGCTTTTATGTGAGGATAATCCGCCATACGGCAAAAGTGGGGAAGAAAACGCGAATATCGGCGTATTTAGGGGATTACAGGGCTCCGAAAAGTGCCAAAATTAGGGTTTGGACGAGAATGTGACGACAGAAGTTGTGGAATAGGTGTTTGGATGAGGTGTCCAATTTTGTGTGCCATTAATACATGTAAGCTGCCTGGTTACAAGTGTGCATTCCGCTGCGAAATTTGTAACGCCTACAGCCTTTACAACGCCGTGAGTACCGGTCCACATTGGGTGTTTATGTCGGCTAACGGTAAGTCAGTTTTGTGGTCTCTGTTGAGCCTAATCTAAGCCGCTTTTCGACCCTACAGCGTTTCTTTCTTTGTGAGTCACAGGTTCTTCCTAGGAATGTGTGTTTGGACGATCTGTCCAAATTTGCGTGCCATTAGTACATGTAAGCTGCCTGATTGCAAGGTGTGCGTCCCGATGCGAAATTTGTAACCCCTACAGCCTCTACAACGCCGGGAGAACCCGTCCACATTGAGTGTGAACGTTGGCTAATGGTAAGTTATTTTTGTGTCCCTTGTTACACTATTAGGCCGCTTCTTTGGGAGTCACAGGTCCTCCCTAGGAAGAAACTTGGCAATCCATTTTTATCGTGAACTGTAACATTAACTGTGGAAGCTAATGGTTTCTACAGTGTTATTGAGAACTTACTTGCTGCTCTAGATCTTCAGAAACTGTAACGACAAACCCCAATTGACAGAAACAAGTCAAGAATATTTGTACTTATTTAGTCAACGAATATGTCTGTTGCTGGTGCGAAGCCTTCAGCTTTGGCAGCTAAGCTAACCAACAAGTTCGTTCCTGTACAACAAAAAACTACTAGAACGAAGCCAACTGGTGAAGGGGAGTATCAGGTGTGTTTTGACAATTTAACAACAGTTTCTAACGGTCTCATCGCATCTGCTGTGCAGTATTGTAAGTAGAAAAAGGATTGAGAAGCTTCAATAATAACTTGGATCATTTCGCACCTCCACAGTCTCTCCATCAGCATAGCCTAGCGTAATTGTTTGGCTTCTGGCCCCTGTCAGACATGGCTACTGGTATTGATTGTTGAAGGTAGAAACTGCTATTATTATTATATTAGGTTGTTCGGAAAGAAATGATCGTTTGAGTTTATCAAATTTTTTATTATAAAAACGAAGTTAAACAATATTAATTCAAAAGACATTCTGAATTGCTATTAGTGACTTGTTTCCAACGTATATGCAAAAAATGGTTTCCTCTTTCGAAGAACCCGGCCGGCTGCGACTCAAAGTAGTCCTAGAGTTGGACTTCTTCGCGGTTTGCGGACTTTCTCTCGGCCAGGGAGTGCTGCATCGGCCGGAACAGATTGTAATCGGATGGTACCAGCTCTGGGCTGTACGGTGGATGAGGCAGGACCTGCCAGCCCAAATCCTCAATCTTTTTCCAGTGATTTTCGCGACATGTGGACGAGCGACTCGACACATTGACGACGCAGTGCCTGATCCACGCGGTTCAATTGATCTTTGTAGATGATCGTCGTAGCTGTGTGACCCGAATCCATAAACTTCGAACTGCACCAAACCTTTGCTGTTCCACCAGACACAGAGCATCACTTTTTCGCCGTGTACATCCGGTTTCGGAGTAGGTTTTGGAGTGTCACCGGCGTCTAACCACTGTCTTTTTCGCGTTGCATTGTCGAAGCAGATCCATCTCTCATCTGATGTAACAACAGAGTCGAGGAAACCGCTGTTCTTGGAGCGACGAAGAAGAACTCCGGCCATTGCCACTCGTGTTGCCCTCTTGGCGTCGCTCAGCTGGTGCGGTATCCATGTTTTCCAAACTTTTTCTTCAAAAAAAGTAGACAGAAAAAACTTTTAAAAGATGCACAATAAAAATCATTTTCTAATAGACAGAACTGTTGCTTCTCTGCAACACCGGATGCATTCCCTCCCAGTTAATTAAAAGAATTTCTTCCAAGATTTCTTCTCCCTTGGAATACCTCTCCAATTTGATCTTTTGTCGTGGAGAGGTCCCCAATAGATGGAAGCATGCGTTAGAGTCCTTTATTAAAAAAAACCTGGTTATGTTCCGCACGATTTCAGACCTATATGTATAACTTCTTTTTTCGTCGAGTGTTTGAAAAAATTTTGAAGAAGAGAATCGTCGGTAGCCTTGAATTCAATCGTGTTTTGCCTAGCTGTCAGCATGGATTTAGGAAAGGCGAGTCTACTGAGGCACTAATGCGGGAATCATTAATTGAATGGACTGCTGCGCTGGATACTAAGGAGAGTGTTGATGTGGTTTATCTCGATTTTCAGGAGGCCTTTGACCGAGTCTCACGAACTCCTGGTTTTAAAGCTCACTCATATGGGAGTTCATCCGCGAATAGTTTCTTGATAAGAGCCTTTCTTGAGAATCGTACCTTCCAAGTGATACTCATTGGCAAACTTTCTTTTGTCCGAGATGCTCCCTTTTGTGTTCACCAGGGAGGCTTTTTATCTCCTCTTCTTTTTGCTGTTTACGTGTATGACTTGCCTGCTGTTATTGCTGAAGAGGGCATCACCTGTAAAATGTTTGCCGACAACATTGAATTATTTGCTAAAATTCAAAATGGTGGAAGCTTTTCACGAATGCAATCTGCTTTGCATGCTGTTTCTCGCTGGTCTCGGGATTGGTGCTTTTCTCTCTCCGGAAAAAACGAAAGTTTTTCATCTTGGGGATAATAATCGTCAGTTCGATTATCTCTTATCAGGAGTCGCCATTGATAAGATTGATTCAGTGAGGGATCTAGGGTTCACTGTGGACAATAAATTCTCGTATCATCACAGCAGCGTATCATCATTCAATGAGCATTGTAGGAGCATTGTCAACAAAGCGGAACAACGCCTTTTTCTTTTGCTCAAATCTTTGTGTTCTAAGGATTCGCAGCTTCTCATTTTGGCACACGAAACTTATGTTAGACCTATGCTTGAATATGGTACGTGCGTTTTCCCTCCTAGTGAGAAAGCCTTGGTGGTTTGGAATGTGAGAGTACAGAATGGTTTCACTGAGAAGGTTTTCCTCCGTTCATTGGGCTTCACGTACCGCAGCATTCCGCGTAGTATCATAAGGAGCACTGTGCTTAAATTAGACTCCCTTAGGCTCCGACGAAGAATGAATGATCTTTTAATGGTTTTCAGGATTCTCCATGGCTTGGTTGATTTTAAATCTGGAGATTTCTTTAAATTATTTTAGTCATCGACAAGGGGTCAATCACTTGAAATTTTCATCATGGGCCATGTTCTTCCGTGAGTAGCAACTTCTTCACATTTAGCGCTGAATCTGATTTCTTAAAAATTATCAAAAAGTGTACGGTGCCGGGTTCCATTACAGGTTTCGAAAAACTGTTAGATAGAAATCTTTCTCTCGTTAATCAGTTATTTGTTACTTGTACCAGATATTCACCTTAGTTTTTTTTGCATGCATTCCGCTGTTCTTCTTCTTCTTTGGGTTCTTGTGATTTATTTATTTCTATATTTCTTTTTCCTGCTTACAGATGTTTCGTTCTATTACATGTAAGCTACATGTAATAGAATCTGAATTTGAACTCTTGATGTTAGCTCTTGATGTCAACTGATTTTACATTTCGAATTGTTCCACATTTTACGTTCACGTAAAGTTTTCTCTCAGTAATTGTTCAGCTGAGTCTGGAAAGTATTAGGTCGTGAAGAAAGTTCTTGCGGTTTTGCGCGTCAAACTTCAAATGCACATATCTCGGCTTAAACAGAATTTCTTCAATCGAAATCACAACCATTACTATCGACACTCTTTTGCCAACGAGAAACAAGTTTGTTTATACCATTCGCATAGAAGTCCGGAGATCTAGAGACGATGAAATCGTCGAATGCCGCGGCAGCATCATGTTGGGGTTTTAAGCATTTCTCCTTGAAAAAGCCGTCGAGATGCTTAAAGGAACGGTAGTCTGTGGGAGCAAAGTTTGGGGAATATAGTGGATGCGGGAGAGTTTCATAGCCTAGCCCCATCAATTTTCTCAGGGTAAGTTGTGCGACGTGGGGCCGAGCGTTGGTGTGGAGTAGAATTAGCCCCTTTTTCTATTCACCAGTGCCGGGCTCATGAGCTATAGTTTTCGATGCATTTCGTCAACTTCTTGACACTACTTCTCGGCTGTTACGGTTTCACCCGGATCCATGAAGTTGTGGTGGATCAGCCCGGCTGCAGACCACCAAACCAGCACCATGACCTTCTTTCCACGCTGCTTCGGCTTGGGAAAATGCCGTGGGGCTTGATACATGTCCAGCCACTGATCTGATCGTCGCCGGATGTCGTACAGAATCCATTTCTTATCACACGTCACAATACAGTCTAAAAATGGATCGTTCCTGTTGCGCAGAAGCAAGGCGGAGGCGAGCTCGAAGCGGCGGTCTTTATGGTGCTTAGTCAACTCATGCGGCACCCACTTATCGAGCTTTTTCGACTTCCCGATCTCCTGCATGTGGGTGCTAACTGTCCTGCTGGAAACATTCAATCTCGAGCCAATATCCTTCAGCGTTGTACGTGGATTCTCTTCCACTAACGTTCTCAATTATTCGTTGTCAACGGCCGATGGCCGCCCACTATGCTCATCATCTTCCAAGCTCTCATCACCGGTACGAAATTTCCGAAACCACCACTGTGCTGTACGTTGATTCTTCGTACCTGGACCAAAGACATCGTTGATATCCCGAGCCGTTTCCTTCGCACTCCTGCCCTATTAAAGTTAGGAAAACAAATCGTGCGGATCTGTCGTTTGTCCATGCTGATTTCGACCATTAAAAAAGCCCAGGAATCATTCCAGGACGAAACCGATTATATATTTGGATAGGGCAAGAATTGCGCTTCAGAATGGTCTAAAGTTGCGAACAATCAAATAGCAAATAACACCGCGGCGAGCATTTGAAAACTGGGCGTCGAAAAACGCAAGAACTTTCTTCACGACCTAATAGATCGGCAGGTAAGCAGTTAATCAAAAACGCTTCGCAGGCGATTGGGTATAGATGCAGAGGAGCCTAATCCTTAGGTATACTCGTATACCCATAGGAGCAAGTGGTTTACGTACGTTTCTGCGTTTCTTTTTATTTTTTTGCGAATTTTATTTTCCTTGATTTTTTTTTCAGCTGATCAAAAATGAAGTCCTCGTGTCGCCCTACGGTAATCAGTACGAAGTCTTGGAGTTCTTGGGTAAAGGGACTTTTGGGCAGGTACTGTTTGAATGCTATTTTTTTGAGCTGTCTAATAATTATAATTTGTTCATTTCACCAGTCGAGTGCCCCGGCTCATACGGGCTCTGCTCCTTTTCGTGTTAACGTTGGCCTGCCGCTGCATCATTTCCATCACAGGAAATTTGGACCCTTTGGTGCAGGAGAAAAGGAGTTACGATTTACCAACTGAACACATCCCAACCGACACCCTTCGTGAGCACCTGTAACGTCAGCGACGTCCTGCTCAGGCTATGATGTTTGAGTAATGTGACTCATTCCTCACTTATTTCAACGTGACTGCGCAATAGCAGTTTACTCCAGATTACGCTCACCTCGCTTACTCTCCCCCCCCNNNCCCCCCCCATAGTCCTACTACCAGTGTTTTCATGCTACCGCCTGCATCTTTCCAAATTTAAACACTTCAGGTCTAGAGGAACAAATTTTAGCATGCACCAAATTTAAATGTCTTAGATCAAAGGAACGATTTTTGCGCCCGCCTTGCCCTCTCCCGCTATGTCCATTCATGCCGCAAATGCCAATGTGTCACACACACTGACAAACAAATACCCCTGGCGTGTGGGATAGCACTGAAAGCCAACAATACTGTTGCAGGTTGTGAAGGCGTGGAAGAAAGGTACGAGTGAGATCGTAGCTATCAAAATTTTGAAAAAACATCCTAGCTATGCAAGGCAGGGACAAATCGAGGTATGTTTTAAAAGAAAGACCGCTTTGGTTCTCTTCTTGAGCTTCCAATTACTAACTTCCTGAGATGTTCGATTAGTTTTCCCTAGTGATAAGTCTTCTGAGTCTACCCTAACCAAGCACGCCTGTGGAGTGAATAGGGGTAGTTCGTTGGAGGCTTGATTCGATCACGATTAGCATTTTTTAGTCATTATAAAAAGCTTGGTTAGGCAGTGGCAGTGGAAGGATCGGCATGCCACACTGAGATTAGACTTCCGAATAGAACATCAGCCATTTATGGAGAGACTGGTGAATAATTTAACCCATTGACGACTGCGTGGCCCGCCGGCGGGTCACACCATATCGTGCTCCTGTAGTATTTATATTATTTATCAAGTGTTCTTATAATTTTTTTCATGTTTTCAAGTATCAGCTGAGCTCACAACCTTTTAGAGAATCTCGAGGCATCGTGGTCTAAGAATCATTCACTTCCAACTGCAGTTATAAGAGAAATTAAAAGTTAATGTAAGGACAATGTAAAAGGCGCGGTCGCTAATGGATTAATCATTACCAGAAATCGTTTCGGGAAATTTTTACGAGCTTGGCATTTGGAAATGCTAATGACGACCATTTTCGAATTATCTCATTTTTTGAAGTTGTTCAACGAACGAAAAATTCACCAAGGTAGTGTACTCCTTCGAAAAAACACCTTTACAGTTGCAGAATTAGAAGGTTTTCTAGGACCACGCTGTATGCAGTAGTTTCATTTAGGCCAAATGTAATGTTTTGAGAAGAAGAATTGGAAGAAAGTGGAAATTTAGATGAATAAAACAAAAATAGAACTGCAGTCCACATGTGGATTGCATGGTCGTTAATGGGTTAATGTCGAAAAACATCACTTGTTAACGGTTTTATAGAAAATAGAGATCTCATCGTTCCCATTTGCCTCTGTTGAAAGTGAAGTGAAGTGATGCCAATGCCTTCAAAACCTTCAATATATATTACAAGCGTATTCAATTAAAAGAAAACCATCCTGAGCTTCTAGTGAAGTCGTCCATGGGCATGTTGATTATTGGAGGGGAATGGTTAAATCAGCAGTTGCTAGACCACTGAGAAACACTTTCGATTTCAATTTCACGAGGTTATGACCAGACTCTGTAGCACCATGATACATTCCGCGATTATGTGTTTTCCTAAGCACATAGTCGCGGAATGTATCATGGTGCTACTTTCCGTGATCGATGGTTTATAGTGCATGGAGAGACAATCCAGCGTCAAGTTTATCACATAATTCCGAGAAGATTTGAAATTTCACTGTGTAGTTCCTACTGAAATATGATTGATTGATTTGATTTATTACACGACTGACTCGTGTGAAATTGAACAACGGGAACAAGCAAAAGCAACTCAAAACAAAAAATCGACCGAAGAACCTCAACTCAGGGCGTAATTACTACACCAAAAATCAAGAGGTGGAAAAAAGCTTTAATATAACGAAGAAGTGAAGCACAAGAGCAGACAACATGCGAAAAAAAGAAAACAATATTGGAACAAAGGAGCAATTAGTCCAGCGTTGGGTCATGAGCCTTTTAAAGTGTGCGAGTGATTTAGGTACTGGGCCTCGCGTGATAATTTTGTTGAATTCGATACCAGCACGGTTGCAGAAGAACTGGCTGCTATGCCTTGAATTAGGTCTAGGTATAAAAACCTTGGTATTGCCACCACGAGTGCGTGAATCACCAGTAGAGAAGAGCCTATGCCTATCTACATACAGAGATAACACCACAGAGGATCTTTTAGCGCATGGGTACATCAAATCGTCTCCTTCTACTTCCAATGGTTTGCAGACCTAGAATTCGGTTCCCATAGAGCTTTTGGAAACTTTCGTATAGTCATATAAATGAACCCTTACCAACAATTTCCTAGTGAAGTCATTTTGAACCTTCTCTAAAGCCTTAATAAGAAATTTTTCTGAGGATATTATATAACTGTCCCATATTCCAACAGTGGCCGAATGTAACAGGTGTGTTCATTAATTCCCGCCGTTTTTCGCGTGCAAAAACATACTTATTACAAAATTAAAACTAAATGTATGTACATTAACCAATGTATTGCCCATCGTTAGCTACACTTCTTGCCATCTTTCTGGTATCTTGTTGACTCCGGGTCTAAAAAAGTCTTCATCTTTTGAGGCAATCTTGTTATCCACCCATTTTCGCACTTCCTCGGCATTCCGGAATCGTATATCTGCCAAACTGACTTGCATGGACCGGAATAGGTGGTTATCAGAGAGAGCAAGTTCCGGAGAGTATGCGGGCCGAACAAGCTGATTCCGTCCAACAACTGCAATTTTTTGAAGGACATTCTTCGCAACATGGGGTCTGGCATGTTCATGGTGGAACGGCACCTCATAATATTTTCGTGCGATTAAGGTGAGCTTTTAGGTGAGAGCATCCTACAAACTGTCAAGTTGGTAATTGGTGTTCGTAGCGGTCAGCAGTAACAGTTTCGTTCGGGCTCAGCAGCTCATAGTACACAACACCCTTTTGATCCCTCCACCAAATGCACACACAGCATTACTTTTTGGCAATGGACACTCCGCTTTCGTTGCAAACTCTCGAGTGAAGAGAAACTATCTCAGCAGGTTCGTTCAGATGAAGCTTGTCCTCCATAGAAGCATCCGATGGGCTTCAGTGCCAGTTTTCCTGAAATCAAACAGCAGGGGAAGGGCCCCCTGGGGAAACGGTTCATCACGTTCCATGTCCAATCAGTTTGAGAGCAACAGAATCAGAACTAGAGACGGAATCATAATGCGAGGATGAGGAGTGAATTCGAGTGGAAACGTTACCAGTGTCAATCAATGAATGATATTGCTTAGCTATATCTATATCCACCTCCTCAAGAAGTTTTGGCACTATTGCACTATTACACCCCCAGTGGGGGGGGGGGGGGGGGTGATATGGGTCAAAAATTTTTTCGCTGAAACTTGCACCAGGGGGGTTATCGAGGCCGCTGTTCACGAATATGATATCCATTTTTGGCGCTGGCGAGAAATTGGCGCCAGTTGGCGCCAAGGGTGTTTTCACCAAATTCGCCGTAAACTTGTGTAAAGGGGTTATCGAGGCCACTGTTCACGAATCACCTCCAGGTCAAACATCAGTTGAATTTCGTCGATCCCAGAACTGGAGCACATACTCAGCATGTTGAGTCACTCTGGCAAAAACACAAGGAAGTGGGAAAGCGACGCTACGGCATTACCAACGCTCGATATGAAGACTACATGCAGGAGTTCTTGTGGAAAAAACAATTTGGAGATCGAAGTGAGGCCCTGTGCAACTTCTGGGACCAGGTAGCTGCACTATACCCCTGCTGAACGAGTTCGACATCCTTCCTGAGCTAACCCAACGGCCCTCTCTAGAGCCACATTTGAAGTCGCAGAGCTGGTCAGAACAAGAGAGCAAGGACGATTCTGATTAAACTATTGCATATGTTTGTAATTAGTTAGCGAGGACTTGTGTAATTCGACGGGCGAGTAGGTGGCATTTTGGTGCTATTGCTCACGTTGACTTTGACTCCCAACTGTGAAGAGGGCAGAAGTCAGTGGGCAATGGGCCGACCCACTTTTGCAAGAAAACGTTCGTGGAAAGGGATAGTGTTTGTTATAGATATGATAAGGACCTTGAATAACCCCTATAACCAAGTGCTGTAAGAACCTGAAATGTAGAGAGGGATATCGGAATAACCGGAACAAAAGGGAAGTCATGTACTGATGACTACCTGCTGTAGGATAGGAACTTTGTTCCGTTTCGCAGGTTTGGAACACAGATTTGAGATCATCGTTCGAAACACCTACGGGGGTATAAATCATCGGGGGTATATTGAATGACCACTGCGACCAAGTATCCTCCCCTTGTAAGTAATGCCTCCATTGCTTCCAGGACATACACAAATCTTGCCAAAGTATCCCAACGTGTCCAATACTACTCCATTGACTATATATGTGTGTAATGAATAAGCTCCTATAAAACATTCACGTGGACTATATTGAATATAAATACCATAAAGTTTGTTAATTAATATGAAAATATTAAATAAGTTTCAAATGGCGAATAAAAGAGAAAAAACATGGTGGCACCCAACATTGGGTGCCATGGTCCCAAGCGCCAGTCATAGTGGCACCCATTGGCGAGTGCCATGGTCGTCAAAGGGTTAACTTTGGGATCGACTTTCATCCCGCTGCTAAGCCGGGGGAAGCCAGCGCAGCGCATTGGTAAGGCCAAGTAAGCATTGGAATGTCTTCACGGTCATGAATAGAAATCTATAGCAGAGACCTTACGAAAATTGGATAGTCAGAGCTAGAATTTTCCCATTCTCGAAAATCTAACACCTGTATGTTGGGACAATTTCGCTACATCGAAATGTGTTATGCTAGTATCTTATCGAAGAATGTTCTTGGAAAAGGCGAAAGTTGGTGTAGAGGAGCTGATAATGGATCGGAAGCACTCCGTTGATGAGTCCTACCCACTCATTGCAACTTGGCCGTTCGGCCACGTGCTGGAATAGATCAGCTATCACAGGACGTTCACGAGAATCAGTTGCAAGTTTTGCTCAGTTCATGGTATCTGACAAAATATTTACAATCGACTATCCTGAAAAACCTATAACACATGGGGAGTATAAATTTCCACAGTTTTCAAAATGACAGCTTACTATACTTATGCAGAAATCACGGACATACGCCAATCGGTGCTAATTTCTTCGCCGCACCGTCACGCGAGAAAGAGACGGAGAGAAGAGACGATCCTGGAGGCGGTTAAAGTCATCCTGTCATTTTTTGCACGTGAAAAGTACATGGTGCAATCACGTAATGCCCACGGTGATCTAACTTCGGCGCGCGTTTTCCCTTGGTCCTTATGAATCATGTTCAAAATTCAGCAATTGTTTGCAGGTTAAACCTGTCAGTGAGTGGCATCATAAGGCCGCATTTGTTTTCTGCGAGTGTTTCGTTTGAGAATTTCTTTATTGCAGGTTTCGATATTATCGCGACTGAGCAATGAAAACGCAGAGGAGTTCAATTTCGTGCGAGCCTTCGAATGCTTTCAGCACAAACATCACACCTGCCTTGTTTTCGAAATGCTCGAACAGAACCTTTACGACTTCCTCAAGCAAAATAAATTCACTCCTCTACCTCTCAACAGTATTCGTCCTATCCTACAGCAGGTAGTCATCAGTACATGACTTCCCTTTTGTTCCGGTTATTCCGATATCCCTCTCCACATTTCAGGTTCTTACAGCACTGCTTAAACTGAAGTCTCTCGGCTTGATTCATGCCGATCTCAAACCCGAAAACATAATGCTGGTCGATCCTACTAATCAGCCTTTTCGAGTGAAGGTCTTTTACTTTCGGAGTATTCCTTCGTTATTTTTGTGATTTCTCGTAAGCAAGGTGTGGGAGAATTCTGATAGATTTGAAACTCATTGCCATTGAAATCGTATTCGCCCAACATTTTCGATAACGAAAGGTTACAATGATGTAATGCTGGACGTTTTGTTCTGATTTGGAAAGTTCCTGTGTAACTTGGCAGCAAATGGGTTATGTGGGCAAAACTAAACATCGGGTCTTGATCACTTTCACAACCTTATTTCGCCACTGATCAATTGGATTCACATGTATCGAAGTAGTAGATTATTCATGAAAGTGAATAATAGAGGTAACTCTTTGCCACTCTGATTTAAAGCTGAATTGATCGAGCCGGGAATAGTGACCAAGAGGAAATTCTGTCATCCGAAGAAAAGCCTATCCCCCGCGTTTGTCTTACTTCAGAAGCACTTTCGCCAGTCTTTTCGTTACGACAGCTCGTGGGATGCTATTTTCTATTCAGCGATGTCATTCCAGATGCAACCTTCTGTGCACAGAAAGTACACTAAACAACGTCTTTTTGCATCTTGTTTTTTAAGTTTCTCAGTATACAGTGTGTCCACAGAAACACTCCTGAATTTCCATCATTCATAGAATGAAAGCCATGGTGGTATTGTGTTCATTTCTAGGGTAATGTGTAACAATTCGCGATGTTCCATGCGATACATGCTCTCTATAAGCGCTCAAGTTTTCCTAACCTATCACGGCATACAGCTAGACAATGAATTGAATTGAATTGTTTAGTTCACAAGATGATACAGGGTTTATCTGGTTCCGCTTCACGCAACGTTTTCAAATCAGTGCCCTCGAGAGCAAGTGGAGGATCCAGCCAACACAAGATAACCTTGCGAGCCAAAAGTTTCTCGTTTAGAGCTGGGAGTCATTATTTAATGGTTTCAAGAAAGGTACCGTCAAATATAACTTTGACTCAATTTGGACATTGGGTTGCTTACGTGCTGTTAAGATATGACACAGCGTAAGAGCGTTTTATGAGGTTGACTGCTGAACTAGAAAATTCTTCATCTTTTACTGTAAGATTTAGACATCTGTTTTGATTTGTGTTTGAGTTTTCGGTGTTTTATCGATACCAGGCGGCTACGCACGCTACTGCGTGCGCTTGGGGCTCTAGTCATAAGGCACGGAGCCACATGAGAAAAATTTGTCCATCTTGGCTGAAGTATTAGCATGGTATACATAACACTTGATTTTGAAAATGTAATTTATCAAAGCATTACTTCTGTCTACACAATATTCTTCAGCAAGGGCGACAAGGATTAATCAAGCAACAACTTCAACTTTTTCTGATCTTAACTGACAAATATTTTGGTTTGGGCTGTGTGTGGTCATGAGGAGTACTCCTGTGAAATGGGGCTGTGTGTGGCTGCGAAGAGTACTCCGAAGTATCCAAATCAAATACCTCAGCAGTTCATGTAGTCGAAGAAACTGTGTAGTTCAGGCTGTGTGTGGCCGTGAACACTAACTTGAAAGGGACAGCCCTTTTGGGTAGCTGTAGGGGTTTACATGTCTCTACAGAGTATGCACACCACCTGTGGGCCGGGTTAGTGTAGAATTTATTTTATGAGGTCTGAAGTTAATGTAGTGCGTTTGCTCTTGTGTAGAAGGGACTACTGTGTGTGGAACTATGGATACTAACTTTTAGTAGTTTTTAGCCTTATTTTTGAGAAGGAGTTTAATGGTATCCCCTAGTTGTACATCTATGTGGTCAGGGTTAGTGTGAAGGAGAGATGTATAAATTTTTGATGTCAGCCCCGCCTCCTTTTTAGCAAGCCTCACCCACCTCAGACTTCGAACCACATTGCTTTTACAAACTCAACACACCTTTTTCCCGCGTTCTAAAGCGCATCTGAAGAGACTTAATAATCTTGATATAAGCCCCGCCCACTTCAGTGCCAATCCCGCGCACTTGCGGGATCTGACCACGTTCGTTCTACTACAGCTTACCACATTTTCCGCGTTTTAAAACGTTTCTGAACAGAGTTGAGAATTTTTGATCTAAGCCTCGCCCACTTTGATGCCAACCCCGCCCGCCTCGAGGTTTTGACCACATTTGTTCCATTACCTCTAACCACTTTTTTCCCGCATTCCAGAACGTTTCTGAACGAAGTTACAGTCATTTATGAAAAGTAGCTTTCACCTCAACGCACGTCCCGCCCATCGTGGGCGAAGCCTCGCTAAGTTCACGCATGCCCAGCACGCATAACGCCTTGCTCATACCTTTTATTTTTTCTGGCCTCCACGCCTTCCTCGTTGTAGAGTTATGAATCTATCTGGGAAGTACCGCCCACTGAGAGAACGCTCCGCCTACCGACAGTGAGTCTCCTTCATTTCATTTGTTGACCCATCCCTCACCTTTACTCAGTTTTCCCGGCGTCTGGACTGTTAGATGACCGGATGAGAAAGATTTGCCCTAGACACTGCCCTTTCCGGTGCACGTCCCGCCCCCTGTGGGCGAAGCTCCGCTGAGCTCACGAGTGCTTTAATTGTCTTGCCCTGTGCTCAACCCATTCCAAACTTTACTCGACCTCTCCAGGTATTCCTTCAGGTAGTAGTCGAATTTCGTGACAGACAAACAGGCGCGAGCGCTTTATATATAGTAAGGATATTTATATTTCCAGGTGATCGATTTTGGATCGGCTAGTCACCGGAGTAAGGCCGTTACTAATACTTACCTTCAGAGCAGATATTATAGGTGAGCAATCTCTTCATAACCTGCTAGCATACGTTCATAAATCTAGTGAAAAATTTTGAAAACAAGGATTTTCGAAATTGTGGTATTCGATTGGACGCAGTTATACATTGTCAATTATAACATTGTACAAAACGTAGCCCCCAATAGAAGTAAGTGACGGATGAGTGAAAGAGAACTCTGTCTCCTTCACCTTTCCCTCGAAAAAAATCGGGATTTGCAGTCATAACAATAAACGTTTCTCGTTGCCTAGTATGCTTTGCAAATTTCACGTTAACTTCCACATAATGAAGACCATTCCAAGATGGCAATGCCACGGACTGTGATAGGTGATGGTAGAAGATATATGTATAGAGGTATACATACTGTTTTATAGAGCCCTGCCTTACTGCTGTGCGCTACAGGTGAGATATAAAAGAAACACGCAATGCAGAGATTTTATTGGTAATTTATCCGAATGAGCACCCATTGCGTTTCACACATTGCGCGACCCCTGTGCTCACGCACACAATCCCGTTCACGCACCCTAAACTCCTAAATTTTTAGTAACCTTACACTGTCAGAGTGCTGGAAACAGGAATTGATAGATCATTTACAATAGAATAATGGCTTACACATGCATATACTTTGAACTGAAAGTATATAGAAAGGTGTGATTTTGAGCCAGGTGTGGGTAGTTTGGTTTTCATCACCATGCAATGAAAAAAGGTTTCACTTATTAATTTCGCGAGAACAGGTTGTTGAAATACAATAAACCTATTGTGTAGAGAAGAGTTCAAAATCTTCGGTTGAGTGTCACGCACCAATTATCGTGCTCAAGATCGTAACATCTGTTAATAGAAAGGACTGCAGCTGTAGCAGGCCTTAAGTCTGGCTTGTGTCTTACGCATATGAGCATTCACTAGTCGCCACGTCTATGCTGAACCCCCCCCCCCCCTTCCTGTGGCTGAATTGGAAGGTCCGACCTTTCATTCTTTCCAGGTACATTTTTGATCGTAAAATATTTGGAAGGAATTGCCTAAAACTTCGCGGGCGCTACAAGTTTGAGCGTGTGAATTGTGCCTCATTTCCCAAGATCGAGCACGCTTGCGGCAAATCTTAATAGTGATCTTACGGCATCAGACTGAAGTGGGTGCAGTCAGTTTGAATCACTCCCCAGTTACTCAATTCTGACCCATTCATTACGCATTTCGGTCATGCTTTGAAGTTCTACCACATACGGCGGATGGAGCGAGCGCGGCACATTTTTTGGGCACGATTAACCGCACAGTTTCGAAATAAGGTTTCAAAGGGTACTATGGGGTAATTAAAGTAATGGGATTCAATTTATGATAACGCTAATGCTAATACTCACGACGTCTCGATCTGTTGCTTTTTAAGTTAACTGATCATCAGTGATCCTAAATTGACTAAGATGATAGTCAGCCAAAACCTTGGTACATACTAATCTTGTCGACCCTATAAATCATGGTTAGCAGTCGTTATCTACTGTCTCCTTGTAAACCATTGCTGGAGATACCCACTTTATTAGTGATTGGGTAAGTGCGGAATACTAATGTCGAAGGAAGTGAGTCTTTAGTAAATCCCAAACCTTAATGCGATCCGGTCGTGATGCAGGTGCAAGTAGTGAACCAATGCTTCTTATATGGTGCTGACTTTAATCAGTCCCTATCACCGCACTCATCACTCTTTTTTCGTCAACCTACTCTGCTCCCGTTTTGTAATCAGAGAAACTGTAACTTAGAGGGGAGGGCTACATTCGGAAGTTGTTGATAACGAAGAGGTTCACTGCGTTCGAATTCCCTTGTCAGTCCTAAGTTTTACGTAGTGCTGCTTATGCCCTTCACATCTCACATCACACTTTTCTGAGTGTCGAGATTTTTCTAAAACACGAAAGGCATTGTGAACTAAGGGCGTCTCCTATGGATCGCAATCAGTCGTTATCGTTGCTGCCAATTCCTGCCACCTAACATCTACGATCACGTCACACCCACTTCACCTGCCAAAAAGCAAAGGTTCCGCTACTAATATGAGTGGTGTCATTGACACAGAGTCTCTGGTCTTCTGCAGCCTTTATCAGCCTTAATTAATTGATATCAAACTCTCTCACGAACTATCTGGATATTTTAACCTTCCACATCATCCACTGAAGTGTTGTGGTTTCACTGTTAACAGGAGGTTCGATAGACTCAGTGGATCTCGCTCTCTACCAATCGACACTATCACATCATCAAACGAAATTCCAAGGCTCCAGTTTTATCGCAGAAATCGCAACGTTCAAGTAACTAATGCCTGCTTAGGCTTTTTATCAGCCCCTATCAGTGCTAATCACTTACTGCCTTACAATGACATCAGTGCTGCAACTCTGCAGCCTGTGCCTCTTCCAAACTCGAACGGCCCAGGTCCAAGGCCTTTTCCTGCCAAACAAACAGACCGACACACCAGCGGACACACTTAGCGAACGATGTAAGATTCCCTTACTGGGCCCTGACGTCTGCGGCTCTTTTCCCTTTTTACTGGAATCGTAATTGCACGCTTGGTCAATAAGGTTTGCTGGCGTTTTTGTGCATAGCCAGAAATACAACACCTGTCCTATTTGAAGGAAGTGACCAAGTATCCGATGAGCAAAGCTATGTGATATCTGATCTTTCGGTTTACATGGTGCGTGTATGACCACAGTTTTTGCCCGACAACGTGGTTATGTCGCGAACCTCTTTTTCAAGCTCAATGTTGATGACCAAATTCTGGTTTGCTCATATTTGTACTACACTAGCTAACAAACTCTGTTCCATGGTGAAATTCATGTATCCTTCCGTCGGTTTGGTTTGATGCGTTATGAAAAGTCAAGGTAATTTTGCATTTAAATGCGGCGCAACCATATTGAATTTGAATGGATCTAATAGTAACCGGAAATAATGTAAAGCAGAAGAAAAGTACGGAAGACTTCTCTGATATTCATAAGATCAAAGCGGCCCGCGGAGCTTGCATTACCAGTTTGACTCTATTTTTTTCAGAAGGTCAGAAGTTGGAAGAATTCCTCACGTCATGCGTGCTACATACTGACGCCGTTTTAGAATTGTAGTTGCTCACGAGCTAGCTTACGTTTTCGTTTTTTTTCAGTAGTTTTTTTTCGATATTTGCTGTATCCTGTACGCTACGAAAAAATTCAACGGAAAGTTCGATGGCGTTGATTAAGCCGCTAAACACTCAAGCCTTTGACGAGTCGCGATCGCGTAACTGCACGCTATTTATTCTTGTCGAGGGCATGGATCGCATAAGTCGTGAAAAACATACCAATAAAAGCAATGGAATATGTTACCTGAACATTAGTGCTGGGACGCATGTTTGAAGGGTGAAGAAATTGGCTGAGGAGTGAACGGTCTAAAATAATTGAATAATGTACGAGTCGAGGTCAGTTAAATAACAGCAAATCTTCAACTGTTATCCTTTCTCACCCATTCAGCATCGAAGTCGTTTTCCAGCAGTTGATCTGTATGCAACTTATCGTATATAGTAAGCGCAGTAAGAACTCAATTTCGTGTCTTTTCCGTGTTTCCTCCATAATTCCGTTCAGAGTGGAGTACTCCAGGAGCTGAAGATACCTTAGAATTGAGCTCGTCATGCTCTATAAGCAGATGCCCTAAAGTGTCGCAAATGCTTTGTTTCAAACTGCATCATGCACTTGAGTCCCATCCGGAAAGTAATTGCATTTACCTGGGAGGATGCTTTAGTGCTTGTAGCAGCTGGTTTGCCTGTGAGTATAAAGTGTCCAGCATTCGCTCTAGATGCGCCACTTACTCGACTTCACTCAGTGCAATGTGAGAATGATGATTGTTCAGTCTCCAGTGTTCATTTCTAATGTGTAGACTGTCGATGACTGCATTTACAGTCTCTGCCCTTAACGCTCCTCCTTACGGGTCCCATTGAGAATATAACACCACTTTACGGCAAAATAATGCAGTCGACTTGAAACTGATAATTTTGCTTCTGCCACGAGGTTGTTAGGTGGGAATCTTTATTCTGGCCGACGTTTCGACGGACTCGTCGTTTTCAAAGGCCTGAAAATGGCTCAAAGCTTTTGATTGCACACTACCCCACCAAGCGCCTCCTCCGCTCTAGCATTTCTGACCTTCTATCAGGAACGCACGAAAAATGCCCAAAAAATAAAAAGATAAGCTCA